GGTATGGAACATTTTCCATATGAGGAAAGATTAAAAAGACTGGGGCTTGTCAGATTGGAAAAGATGACGACTAAGCAGGGGGATATGATACAGCTCTATAAAATCAAGACTGGTGTGGAAAAAGTAAATAAGGAAGTGTTATTTACTCCTTCTCATAACACAAGAACTAGGGGTCACCAACTGAAATTAATAGGCAGCAGGTTTAAAAAAAAAAAAAAAGGAAGTATTTCTTCACACAATGCACAGTCACCCTCTGGAACTTTTTGTCAGAGGATGTTGTGAAGGCCAAAACTATAACAAGTATCAGGGGGTAGCTGGGTTAGTCTATGTCCACGAAAACAACAAGGAGTCTGGTTGCACCTTAAAACTAACAGATTTATTTAGGCATAAGCTTTCGTGGGTAAAAAACCCACTTCTTCAGATGCAAACCATAACAGGGTTCAAAAAAGAACTAGATAAATTCATGGAAGATAAGTCCATCAATGGCTACTAGCCAGGATGGGCAGGGATGGTGTCCCTAGCCTCTGTTTGCCAGAAGCTGGGAAGGGGCAACAGGGGATGGATCACTTGGTGATTACCTGTTCTGTTCATTCCCTCTAGAGCACCTGGCATTTGCCACTGTCGGAAGACAGGATACTGAGCTAGATGGACCTTTGGTCTGACCCAGTTTGGCTGTTCTTATGTTCATGTCTACACTGCAAATTTTAGCCACTGATGCAGCTGCCCTGGCACAAACCCCCAGCATATACATGTTTTATAGTAGTGCAGCTGATTTATAACTATGAGATCAAGAAATAACTCCTTAAAACAGATGAGAAAGCACACAGATAACATATTATACTCATTACATCTTATGAACGATGCGATACATTGCAAGTGGGTGGGGGAAGAAGCTAGGGAGGATTAGTCTTAAAGTTAATATGGCAATTAGTGCTTTCTAGGGTAACTATTCAGAATGGTGCTTCCATTACTTCGAAAGGGGAAAACACTGAGCTTTAAAGCCTAAGGTGTATCAGAGGCTGTGAAGATTACACACTGAACATATTAAATGGATTCTCAGAGCATGAGAGAAAGGAGCGATTTACATGTACTTTCAAAGGGCCTAAGAATAATACGCATGTTCTGAACCTGCATAAAGGAATCGTGTTGGGAGAGATTTCCCTGTTATGCTGGATGAAACAATTCAGTATCTGAAATGAAATAAAGTCAAGTCTTGGTTATGGATGTAATGGGAGGCATTTTAAACCTAGGAGAACTGAAGTTTGGGAAGAGTCACACTGTATGCTCCTAGTTTGGAAAGAACAACGGAAACCTCATCCTTACTGGGAGTACTTCTTAAATACAACAGTGATGTGCATGACACTAAATTGTTATACTTTGAATTTGATTCTGTAAGTCATTTTGAGATTTAATAGTCTCTTTCATACAAGTTATAAAGATCAAATTCTATAACGCTTTTTAAGTCAATGGGACTACTCATATGAGTAAAACAGGCAGGACCTGGCCCTAATGCTGCATTGTATTATTTAGTTAAGGTGTTATGCCTTAGATCTGTGTTAGACAGCATTTAATGTTAGCTGAGTCTGTTTTAAAGGGACACTGTCAACTTGAAATCTAATAAGCATTTTAAAAAAGAAAAAAAAAGTAGGTTTAGGTACTATACTTGCCCCGAGTTCTCCTGCAGTCACATTTTCCTTAATTTTTTTCAGTGTTTTTCTCTCTCCTATATTATGTGAAAAATGCAGTCATTCAACAGAGGAAGCTTGACTACACAGTGAAACTTTCTAAGTGCCAAGTATCGTCCAAAGTAATACACCAAAAATAATTCCTTAATCTTTCTTTTATAGCAATTTTAGGTAAAAAAACATTCAGACAGAAGTGTGATTTTTAAGTTGAAGGTGTGCCTTCAACCACCCTTTTGTATCTGTAAGTAATTACTAACTCCAAAGAGACCGACCAATTGTAAAAAAACATAGAACACCAGATCTTAAAGCCTACAATACCTCATATTTGCATCCATTTACTGTAAAACCAGATTTGAGATATAGAGCTTGAGAATTCAACATATGAGGTGTTGCCTGTTCTCTATGGTGTGAATTTGGGAAAAGGATGAAATGATGGTTTTTGACACCAGACTAATCAAAAATATCTACTCTAGCTTGCTCCTAACTTTTCTTCAATCATTTTAAACTTATTACCACCTTCCAAAAATGATGACTATGCTTTAACAACAGAGACGGAGTGATGCTGGTAGTGTTATTTCATACTGTGTATGCTCAGTGTAACAAACAAATAGCAATGCAACATGTGAACATAAAGTGAGCAAGTTTTCCCCTTAAGTTATGTTTCAATCAATTATCTCATGGCAAATAAGCAGCCAATTGCGGTTATTTTCTACTTACTAATACACCCATGCAGTGTGTTCTAAATATTAACCATCTGGACATTTGCCGCTATCACTCTTATTGTAACGGACTGCATATGTATAAAGTGTATCTGCAAGAATCGGTCCACTTCCTAACTAAAAATATATAGCATTCCGGAGCTAAAAATTGATCTGTGTACGTAGTCACAGTTTAGTCCAAATACAGTTCTAAGTTTGGTCAAGATCACTTGTAAAAATATATAACGTGTCACAAAATAATTCAAATAATGGCAACCTGCCATTTTATTGATAAATATGACAACAGGGGTAGCATGTGGGATGGAAGGGGGGGCAGGAAGAAGCAAGAGCTCAGAGGATTGGTAATGGGATAGAAAATGGAGCTTTCCTCTGAATCACTAGTCCAAATCCATCTGAAGTCAGCAGTCACCAGAAGTAGATACCATCTGATGACTGTTTGGTGACCTGTATGAATCAGTTGGTGGTTTAAGTCTAATTCATAGCAGATGTGTCCATGTTCGCAAGCCACCGTCAAAATTAGCATTCACTGGCATCCTTGCTGGCTGTTTCAGCAAAGAAGCCAAAGACTGAATGGACCATGATAACCAGATAATCTGGAGAATCTTGCATAGCTGCTGCCCATGCTATACTTGCTCCGTAGATAACTAGAGAGCTTCATTCTCCAGGACTCAGGCTGGCAACTTTCATAAACGCTGAACTCACCAACAAAAGTGGAAAGTTGGAAGTGCTCTAGGAACAGTACATACAGATACCAAGAAGAGGAATAGCACAGAATGGAAGTACGTGACCTTCATACTACACAAGGGGCTATGAGCCTGATCCAAAGCCCAACAAAGTCAATGGAAAAAGTTAGACTCTCATGGACTTCAATGGGCTTTGGATCAAACCCCAGGACTTTAGAGACAGCCAGAGGCATAATCAGCTTGAAGTAGGAGCTTTGAACGTAAAAGAAATATAAAGGTGAAATGGGGAAATCTCCTTGGCAAAAGGAAAAAAATGTACAGGGAGCAGATATACTGACAGTGTAATTGATTGTCAGATTTTACAGAGAAGCACCAACTAGAACATGTTGCCAGTCCTGAATTACTCTCCCAAGTTCTAAATAAAGGAATTAACCATAATTCTAGATATGTTTTTGTTATATTACCAAAGACAACAGCAGCATAAAGACTATGATCAAATGTTTGGATAATATTTGAGAGCAGCAAGTATGGTTCCTCCTTCCACTCCCCCCTTTGACCAAGTTTTAAAAATACATTTTCAAGTTTCTGAATTCCTTGGGCTGCATCTTACCCTAGAATTGAAGGTCACTCAGAGCCCACTTCTTAAGATTTAAGAAAATATGTTTCTAGTAATTAATAAACTCTCACTTGAGATGGCCATGCAACCAGCTGCCCTTTGAAATTAGAATCATTATCCCTACTTCCGCAGTCTCAGAGCTCTATTTGGTTAACCTGCAAGTCAACACATCAGCAAGCACTGCCTAAGAGTTACTTGTTATTTTGGGATTTGTAATTTTACAATCTAGATTAACAATTAGAGGGCAGATTTTCTTAAAATGCACTTTTAGAAAGAAAAATACCGAATCTTTGTAACAGAAGGACGTGAACACTTGCATCCAGAAGGTTTTACCTCGACAAATTTGGGGACCCATCTCATTTCAATTATCTTTGCTGATTAATACATAATTGTTTTCCCCGCCCTCCCTCAATTATATTCAAAATATCTATGAGGGCAATGACTACCATTTGGCTGAGGTCACAGTAAGAAAAGGAAAGTCACTCAGGGAAAATGGTTTACAGGTGACTAAAGCTTTAACCTGTACAAAACACTACAGATGGGAAGCAGGTGAGTTAAAAAATAAACAAGTCCCATGACAAATTGTAGCAGAGTGATTATTTTAACGAGCGATTATTTTTAAATAATCGCTTGTTAATTGCAGTGTATCCTACCTACAGAATGCCATGGTTACTGCACTATACCTGCTAGTGGCACCCAGAGTGCTGAAGCAAGGTACCTAGAAGTCAAGCAAACAGCTTTTGTTTCAGCAGATGTTACTGACCATTGACCAACATCCAAATAACTTGCCTATTGCACTACAGCATCCATGGACAGGGACAAGCCTCTGTCTGTCTGTAATGACTGTCCATCTCCTCTGGGTCAGAATTTGCTGCCCCAGAAGGCGGGAGGGAAGGGAAATCAGTTTCCCCAGGGTTGCCAGCGGAGGGGGTCCCCTGTTCACACAGGTCCAGAGAGCTGTCACGCCTGCCCAGCCCCAGCCTCGCCGCAGAAAATGCAAGTCAGTGGGGGGTGCCTTGCCTTGCAAGCCGACATTTTTCAAAAGTTTAAAAGGATTCACTAGGGAGGGGAGGGAAATGGGGCGGCAGCAGCCGGGGCTGCCTCAGGCCCAGGCTGGGAGCAGCCCCCCAGTGAAGGCATCACCGCTCCGGTTCAGCGCTCCCCCCAGACTGGCAGCAGCTCCGCTCCGGCAGGCTCCTTTCCCACCCCCCGACCCCCGCCCCCATCACCCTTCAGGTGGCCGCCGGGCAAACTTCTGCCACTCGCCAGCTCCGCAGAGCCCACGCCCGGCTCTCACCTCCTTCTGCTTGGGGTCCTGGGGGTAGACGTCGGGCGGCCCCAGCCGGGGGCGTTTGAGAGGTCTCTGCTCATAGCTGAGAAGCCCGAAGGCGGCCATGATCTCTCATGTTAGCCGGCAAAATGAATGAGAGTTGGAGACGGAGCAGGCTCTGAGCACCAGGGAGCAGCACTTTGCAGACAGGCTCCCTCTCTCCGTCTGGCTCTCTCTCTCTCTCCTGCAGCGGAGAGCGAGGCTGGCTGGATGCTGCTGCCTCCTGACAGACACCCACCAGCATCGCCCCCAGGCTGCTGCCGAGCAAGTGCCCCACAGCTGGGGCTCCGGCAGGGCAGGGCAGGGCAGTGCGTGCCCTGGGACAGCAGCACTGCCAGCTGGAGCGGGTTTGGGGGGCGGGGTATTTCCCCCCTCCCCAGCCCTGTCAGGGCTCTCTTTCGCTCTAGGGTAATTTCACTGAGGGGATTTCAAACCGGGCTGGCTATTTCTTTTGCAACTATATCACTTTAAGACCCAGCCAAGTCACTCATCAGGCGGGAGATGCCTTCCAATTGCATCCAGAACGAGGGCTTGATGGTTGCAGATGCCTGACTGCAACGCAGAGCAAAATCCTTCCTCCTGAGAGGGGCTCAAAAATAAACTGATTTAAAATTAATCTCCAAGTGAAAGACTTAATCTCCACATAACTGAGATGTGCTAGCTCGGCTCATAGCAGGACATTGACTAATAACTTGGGTCATAACAAACCAAAACTTTTCTTTTTTAAGTAAAGTGTTATTTGGCTATTTCTGACATTAAATGTTTAAACAGCTAAAGTGTTTCTCCCCCACGATGCCCACAGCTTTGGGGGCTTGGGTGACTCCCATAAATGTTCTTACATGGAAGTGAGCACAGCTGAGGCCTGAAAGAGATTGAGTAGGGGGAGGCAGGTGGGAATCTGCAGGAATTTTGTCTGTGCCTGTTAAATGGCTGCTTCCAAATGAAACTGCCATCCCTAAGTGCTTCCACTTAGAAATAATGCGGAGGAGATAGGATATGGGCTCTGCAAAATGCAGCAGGCTCTCACAGTGGCTTACAGCCTAGTTAACTGCTTTCTTAACTCCAGCGAGTTTGGTAGATGTGTTATGGAGAATGATGGAGAAACACCCATAGCTATTGTGCAAAAAGACACCACCTCCGCATAGTGCTCCATTGTACCTTATTTTGAGAGATTCTATTCATTTAGTCCCAAACTTACCTACGTTCAACAAACTTGATGTTACTTCTCCTGACTCACTTTTACTGTAGAAAATAATTTACTTCTGAAAGAATCCTAAAACTGAGATTGTAGAAGGAGACAAGGTGGGTGAGGTAATATCTTTTATTGGACCAACCTCTGTTGATGAGAGAGACAAGCTTTCAAGCCCACACAAAGCTCTTTTTCAGGTCTGAGAAAGGTATGAGTATCACAGCTAAATGCAAGGTGCAGGGCCAGCTCCAGCATTTCTGCCGCCCCAAGCAAAAATCGGCAGCGGCAAATGGAAAAAAAAAAAAAAGCCGCGATCAGCGGCGTCAGTTCAGCGGCAGGTCCTTCACTCCCAGAGGGAGTGAGAGACCTGCTGCCCCCGAATTGCCGCACGTGCTGCCCCTCTCCCTTGGCCACCCCAAGTACCTGCTTGTTAAGCTGGTGCCTGGAGCCGGCCCTGGCAAGGTGCAACAGATTGTTTACCCCAAGTAGTTAGCACATTTTCTAAGGGGCCATTCAAGGTAGAGTGGCGGTTAATATTTCTGCAGTCACAGGACAAAAAGGGGATGAGTGGGTTACAGATTGTTGTAATAGACATAAATCCAGTGTCTCTGTTCAGTCCATGATTTTTAGTGTCCAACAGAGTAATGAATTTAAGCTCCCAGGCTCATCTTTTGAAAGTTTTGTGCAGATTTCCTTTGAGGATGAGGACTGATCAGTGGCAAAGCCAGGTTTTAGCAGCAGGGGGAGCGAACACATAAAAAAAGGCGCCACCCGCCGCAAAGAAAAATGAAAAGAAAAAAAAAAGAAAAACCTCGACTGACGTGGAGCGGCTGAAGGACCCGCCGCCGAAGACCCGGAGCGGCTGAAGGACCCGCCGCTGAAGTGCCGCCGAAGACCCAGAGCACCGCCGGGTAAGTAAAAGGGCTGAAGACCCGGGTGAGTAAAGATTAAAAAGGCACCACTTTTCTGCACAGTGGGAGCGGCTGCTCCCCCTGCTCACCCCCTAGCTGCGCTACTGGGACTGATAGGTCAAATATAGTGTGATCGCTTTGTGAAAAGTGTTCACCTACAGGTTATAGGGTGATTCTATCTTTTATCATTTTGCATCTGTTGTGCTGGCTGGGTCTGATGCCACTTTGAGTTGTTGTGTCCTGCTCTGGGGAGCTTGCATCTGATGATGAAGTTGGAGAGGTTAGGTGGTTGTTTGAAGGCTAGAAGTGGGGGTTCAGGAAAGATTTCTTTCAGGATGGGGTCTGCATCAAGTATGGGTTGTAATTGTTTGATGATAATGGGCCACTCTACCTTGAATGGTCCCTTACAATATGTGCTAACTACTTATGCTAAATAAATAAGAAATAATCTGTTCCACCTTGCATTTAGCTGTGATGCTAGAAGTACCTTTCCCAGACCTGAAGAAGAGCTCTGTATGGTTCGGTTGCTTGTCTCTCTCACCAACAGAAATTGGTCCAATAATAGATATTACCTCATCCACCGTGTCTGTCTAATATCCTGGGACCGACACAGCTACAACTACACTGCATACATTATAAAGGGAGTCATTTGCACTAAAGTAAGGAATCCCACAGCATTTTTAATTTTCTGCATGGATGGTTTTTTGTATTCCCCATTCTGGATCTTTGTCCTATATCATATCCCACATTTGGACTTGGCAGGTTGCTACATTTGTTCCTCTGGCAGGTGTGTTTGCAGTACTGAAGAGAGAGACCACCAGCTATTACAGACCCTTCTTCTGATGAATATATTATGTGGATGGTGGAGGAAAGCCCACAGTTATTGTGCAGCAGGTGCACTCCTAACATGTCTCTTAAGTCAAAGTGGTGGGGGGAGGGAAAGAATCTCCTCAGTTGTTGCACAGCAGGTCCACTTCCCTTGTGGATGTCACATGACAACAGTACAGACTTACAGGGTAATTGTCTTCTAGAACATAGAACTCTATGGTAATAAGGAAAACAGTATTGTCCCTAAAGCTAATCTTTCTCATTCTTCACCGTAGAACCTGACTCAGACCTTCAAACCCCCCCCCCCCCCCCCCCCCTCAGCCCTCCCCCCCAAGTTTTAAAGAAATAGCACACATCTCCTCACAATTCCCCCACCCCCTTTTTCTATGCAAGTTATCCTTAGCCAGAATTATTATTTAAAATCAAAATCATAGCTCCAGACAAGTCACTGGCTCCGTCACTTGTTCAGATCTGGTCATCTTCTGGCCTTGAGCAAGATTTTGTGCAGTTGATTCACTGGGACTATCAAACCCCAAATGTGTACACTCCTGTTCAATAGTTAAGACTCTTCTCAGCAGAATTATCTCCCTGCATTAAAACCACTGAGATTAGAATCATGTGGTAATTCAACTGCATGTGGAAACAACTGAAGATGCTCTCTGTTTCTTCTGCACTCAGTTTCTTGATCAGTCTCATCAACGTAGCATCCTGGGCTGCAGCTGGTGTGGGCAAGTATTTACATTCACCCAATTTTAATCAGGACTGAGTCTCCTGGTTTCAATCTGACTAAGCTTGGGATTGCTTTCTGATGGCTAAAGAAGAAAGCCTGAGGCTGTTTAGATTTCGTATCTCTCAGCCAACCACATATGGATTAATGCTTCCACCACACACTTTTCCCTCCACAGATTGCCTCTTCCATTATCTAATGCTTGCTCCAATAGCTGGGTTATTCTAGACTAGTGCAAAGAGTATTCCCAACAGAAAGGGGCTTTCAGGGAGAGGCTCAGCTGGAAGACTCCTCTCTTTTATACTGAGTGCATCTGCTGATCTCAACTGTGCTACTCGGGCATGTGGAAAAGGCAGTAGGCTGCTCCCAGGCCATTTATGGTTTTAAAGGGTAAAAAATGCCACCTTAAACTCCATCAAGAAGTTAAAAAAAAAAAAATCAGCAAATGAAGATCCCAGAGTTCTGACTTCAGGTGTTCACAGTAAAAAAGGCTCTTTATCAAGTGGGCTGTCACATTCTGCACTAGCCTCAGCTTGTGACTGGACATCAGATATAGAGTGATATTGCAGTTGCCCAGTTGTCAAGTGGCAAAGGCATGAATCACTGTATGTGCTCTCACACACGATTCATGGTGTCAATATGTATAATTTATGTTTTTATTGCTATTTGTTAAATTCTCCAGGAAAAAGCTTGCAGTCCTTGCTAAGATAGCTGTAGTGAATGGGAGTTTTTTCTGAGTAGGGACTGCAAGATTTAGGCCTAGAGTAATAATAAACAAATGTAGCTTATATGAAATGCTATTATAATATGGCAATTACTATAATATTTTCCCCTGAGTTGCTGGTGAGTCCAAGGATGTAGAGACTATCAGATAGGGCTAGACTGTAACTTCACACTCTGGCTGGAGCAAATGTAAGAGGGACTGTTGTCCCCTTACTAACATTCAGTGGGAGTGTTTTGGTACTAAAAGGGGAAGGGTCGATGGGAAATCAGGACCCTTAGACTGACAGTCCCCAGGAACAATGGGGAGAGGCCAATGCTCCAGGTCAGCCTGATTGACAGGGCGGGCAGGCTAATCAGGGAGTCCTCTGTGTGAGCTGGAATTGCCTGGGTCAGACAAAATGGGGCCGAGCTAAGGGGAAAGCGGGGTCCCAGCTGAGCTGGGGAGCAGAGCTGTGCCAGATCCAGAGGGGCCAGATAAAGCAGCCCAGAGAGAGCAGACCCTGTGCTGGGAGCAGGGCTGTAGCCACAGAGCCAGAGACGCAGCCCAGGGGGCTGGAGGCAGAGCAGCAGCATCAGTGCTGAGGCAGAGTGGAGCTGGAGCTAGAAGAGTGAAGCTGGGGCTGGAGCAGGAGCAGTCTGGAGCCGGGTGCGGTGAGCAACTGGGGCCAGCCAAGGGGGGGCCCTGGGC